TCTTTAAGTTCTTGTATATTAAAAACTCTAGAGAGATTAATTAAAAATCGGCTTGAATACTGGCTTGAATCCGAAGATATCCTTCCCAAATCTCAATATGGCTTCCGGAAATCCAGGTCTACACAATATGCTCTCACTTCACTAGTTTCCTCTGTTCGGGTCAATTTCACAAATTAAGAATCAACAGCTGCAGCATGTATAGATGTAACCTCTGCATTTGATAACATAAATTTATATATTCTACATAAGAAATTGTTATATCTTGAAATGTCAGTTAAAATTTCAGATATCATTATATCCTTGTACAAGAATAGATGGACTTACTTAAAAATAAATGAGAAACTTTTAGCGCCAAGGCCAACTAATATAAGTATACCACAAGGTAATATTTTAAGTCCACTTCTCTTTTCATTGTAAAATATAGATCTAGAACAGATAGTACCTCCACACTCTAATATATAGCAATTTGCAGATGATGTTGTATTGTATACCTCCCATACTACCCTTGACATTTGTAGGCGTCAACTCGAATCTACACTAGATTGTATAAAAAATTATTATCATGTTCTAGTCTTATCAATATCAACTACAAAGACTGAAATTTGTTTTTTTTTTCAAAAAACGCCAAACTCCTCAAGGTAACTTCAAATTAGGAAAAATAGACTTTCCAATCAATCAATCAATCAATATTCTTTATTTCATCTGACTTTTACAAGTATTGAAATGCGTCAAAATACAATCTAAAAAACTATAGGTACATAGGTAGTAAAAAAAGTAAAAACTATAAGCACAATCATAAAACATAAAATATACACAAAAACATACAAATTGTTAAAAAGATGCCTGCAAGTATTCCTCTAACGAATAGAAAGTGTTTGCCAGAAGTAATTTCTTAACTGTTCTCTTAAATACATAAATATTTAACTCTTTAACATAATTAGGTAATTTATTATACAAACTAACGCATGTTGGGTAAGGACCCTTGCCCACAACAGTCAAGTGACGAGCAGGGGTCACCAAATCATTTCTGTAACGAAAATTGTAGCCACTCATTAAGGAAACATCATTTCTGCAAATAAAATTACATCTATGTGACTTTACATATACAAACCAACTGAAAATATACAGCGAAATTACAGTTAAAATATTTAATTGTTTAAAAATTGGTCTACAGGAATCCAAGCGCCTTCTAAACGTCATGGTACGAATAATTTTTTTTTGAAGAACAAGCACCTCATTAATACGCGAGCAATTTCCCCAACAAACTAAGCAATATTGCAAAATTGACTGTACATGAGCAAAATAGTAAAGTTTCAAGATTTCTAGGGAGACAAAATTCCCAAGTTGCCATAGAACATAACAGTGTACAGACAATCTTCCCACTACATAATCAACGTGAGAACTCCAAGACAAATTAGAATCCAGATAAACACCTAACAACTTGGTGGAGTGGCTATTTACCACAGACCCATTGTCAAGCCTTACTAATGGACTCATCTTCATAGTAGAAGGTGAAAAGGTTACCATATTGGTCTTTGATCCATTTAAGATTAGGGCATTATTTAAACAGTAAAGACTCATACTTTTTACAAGACAGTTTGCTTTTTGAACTACATGAGAAAAATTATTGGAATTTAGTGCAACTGTGGTATCGTCAGCAAATTGAGTGACGTAACAGCCTGATTGCTGTTCCAAGTTTTCTCCTCGAACGCTTATTGCATCAGAAAAGTTATCTAATGGATTCCGAACCAAACATGTTGAGCTATCGTTTATCAGTTGATTTAAATCGTTGACGAAAATCAAAAATAAAAGAGGGCCAATGATACTTCCCTGTGGAACTCCGGAGAGGACACTTTCTTCTGAAGAAAATATTATATTTCCATTCAGATTAACCTTAATTTTTTGAAACCTTTTCGATAAAAAGGTTTGGATCCACTTTAACGCAGTTCCTCTAACACCACTATGATAAAGTTTTTCCAGCAGTATTGGATGATTTACAGTTTCAAAAGCTCGTGCTAAGTCAAAAAACAAACAGATAACTTTATTACCCTTATCAAAGTTCGATAAAATATGATTGCACAGCGCTAGTAGTGCATCTTGCACACTTATACCTTCACGGAAACCAAATTGAGACTTTTCTATAATGTTGTACCTTTTAATATATGAGAGGAGACGTGTATGAAATGCCTTCTCATATATTTTTGAAAACACAGATAAAAGTGATAGGCCTCGATAGTTATCAAATTTTGATTTGTCACCTTTTTTATGTATAGGCACAACTAGAGCAGTATTTAGAATTTGAGGAAAAATCCCTTCCTGAAATGAAAGGTTTACTAGAAATGTTAATTGTTTATATATGTTATGAGATACATGTAATAACATAGAATAGGGGATCTCATCCAGTCCAGCAGAGGATTTTTTTGAGATATCTTTAATTATACTCTTTATTTCTTCATCACTAACAGGATAAAGGAAAAGGGAGTGTATAGGCGAAGAAAGATTCTTAGGATTATAATCAGGTGAAGTTTGACTAATTAAATTTTTTACGGAATTCGAAAAATGTTGACTAAAAGATTCAGCTATGTCATGAGGGTCATCCACAGAAATTCCCAAATTATTTTTAAAATTTACTTGGGTATTTTGAAGAGTTTCGATTTTTACCTCCGACAGTGTTTCGATTTATGATGCGCCAAGCCTCAGCCGTACTATTCTGTGCATTTATCATTTTATTATTAAAATAAGTTTGCTTGGCTAACTTAACTTTGTATTCATGATTTTTTTTTAGAATGTTATACCGTATTCTGAGCTCATGACTTTCTGAATATTTTATAGATCTGAAAATGTCTCTAATAAAATCTCCCTCATTTATTAAATTAGAAGTTTATTATATTAAATTAGAAGAAGAAAGAATCAAACATTGTGTAAAATATCTAGGCACATATTTGGATCGTAAACTGTTATGGAACGATCAAATCAAAATAGATATCGAGGGAAAATAAGTAGAAAGAGTAAATAACTACAAATATCTGGGAACCTAGGTAAATGAAAACAATGACCAAGGTAGAGAAACAAGGACACGCATTGAAATTGCAAGACAAGCATTTCTAAAAATGAAAACAATGTTTGTTAATCGAGACCTTCCTCTGGAGCTGAAGATAAGAGCCCTAAGATGCTATGTGTTCTCGACTTTGTTGTATGGAATGGAAAGCTGGACACTAAAAGTGGATAATACAAAGAAGTTGGAATCATTTGAGATGTGGTGCTATAGAAGGATTTTGAAAATACCATGGACCCAACGAGTTACAAATGCGGAAGTGTTAAGAAGGATACAAAAGGATTGCGAGGTCATAAAGCACATCAAAACAAGAAAGCTGGAACATTTAGCGCCAATAAGGTACGGATAGCTGTGATGATAGCCAACTCCGATAGAAGAAAGAACTATAAGAAGAAGAAAGACTAAAATGCAATAAATAACTATTTTCTTAAAACCCAAAAAAATAAATAAAAATACGATAATTAAACGAACACGTTTTTTATTTTGAATTGTATTACAATTATTATCACTGCTGTTTAAATACACTAGATTTTTTAGAAAATCTATATACTATGAGAAATTAATTTATAATTTGTAGTTCGTGTATATACATATACAACTCCTTAAAAATTAAAATTAGAAATGTTTATTTTATAATTTTTGGTTTAAGATAACAGGGATTGAAAAATGTTAGATTTTTTTAATATAATTAATATTGTTAACTTTCCTTACACAAATGTCATAACATTTTAAAAATAATTGTTATATTCGACAGTTTTGTTAAAAAATTCCGTTGACAGAGAAACCGGCACTAAATTTTAACTTTATTTGTTGCTTCGAAAACCTACACATCAAGTATTTTGAACCAAGGGTACAACAAAAAAATCGTTTTATTTATCTTTATGCAAAAAAGAAATATTAAAAACAAAAATTTTTTTATTCCTTTTTAAATTCACGTAACCATAGTTGTAACAATGTCGTAATATTTGTAATACTGTCACTTTACATTCATTATCTATAAAGTTTAACAAAAACTAGCAATAAAAGTCATGGCTGACTCACCTTTCGCATTTTCACTTCTTGGGTCTCTTGATTTTGCACAGAGGGTCTATCAGAAATTTCCTTTTTAAAAATCTCAGATTTTGTCTTAACCTCACTTCCCATTTGTTGATAATCCAAAGATTTCGGCTGCTTATATTGCGAATTTACAGCCATTGAACGTGCAAAACAACTCTTGTAATTTCGGTTTTCGAATTCACTATTAAAGTCGTATTGCAGATTATCAGTCATTGTGTTCTTGCACTGTTTAAGTTACACAAAAAATAACAAAACACTATTCATACCGGAACTTCGTGCAGGTAAAAGGACCCTAAGTTACACACTCTACCATAGTCGAAAGAATACTGAAATGTTTTCAAGTTTGAAAGTCAACTGTAACGCGCGAATGAACACTACACCAATGAAACTAAACCTGGGAACTTCTTTTACAAACTCAACGTGCGCACAGACAAAACAGAACTTTTTGTAGTCCAGTAAAAACACATTATTCAAACAAATTAATCTGTTTTACCAAACATTTTATGTTCATCCATACATTCAGGATATCAATTATTGACAAAGTTTTTCATTTATAATATTTTCCATAAAATAATGTTTAACATTGTGTATTATAACAGCAATAAAAATTTTTTAAAACCAAATTAAATTTCACATTACCATTTGAGTGGCCTCTATGAACGGTCGACTTAATAACAATGAAGAAATCTGTAGAAATTGTTAAATTATAAAAATAAAATTATTTAATGGAATTAAATTTATTTTTGGTACCTTATTAAATTAAATCGTTCCTTTTATTATAACTGCTTTAAACTTACAATGTAATGTAATGATTGTAATAAACTTCAAAAATGCCAAAATGCCATTTTGCTGTCAGTTCTTACATTCTGTCATTATGATTTTCTGTTCTGTCTACAAAAAAAGTGCGGTTATACTTCATATTTTAAACTATATATTTTGTTTTCATCTTATAATTAAAGATTATGTACGATACTGAAAGTGTTTCATCCGTAGAAGATGACTTAGAAGTTAAAAACCTTTTTTTAAATAGTGCAGCTAATAGTGAAGTAGAAACAGACAAACCATTATCACCTATTTTAAAATCGGCTTTGAACAGAAAGTGTTTTGGGAGAAAAAGTCGTAACAGAATACAACTAAGTAAGAAATTCGAAAAAGAAAAGTGTACTGAAACGTGTATAGAGAAAGAGATTCAAGAATTCAATGAAGAAAGCTTTACTTTGACTGAAACTGAAAATTTAGTAGAATGTTTGGAGAGACTTGAAGAAATAGAGAAAAATCGAGAAATTGCTTATAAACATTTAGTTAATAGTAAAAGGAGTAATTTATGCTTTAAAAAACCAACATTACCTGCTCCTAAAACCCCAAAAAGACTGAAAACTGCTGTATTCAGTCCTGTACCTCTTCAGGAACCTGTACATATTGAACATAATGAAGAACCTTGCGAAAGATTAATACTAACACCACAAACACCAATTGATTTACCAAAGTCATCTAATTTTCAAACAGCTACTGGTAAATATATACATATAAACCCAGAAGAAATAGAAAACAACTTGAAAGTATTTGAATGTGATCAGAACAAATACAGTTTTTTGAAAAAATCACAATGTTCCCAAAATATTAACTCCAACACTACAATAACAAATAATTGCACAGTAAGTCAATATGATGAAATTACATTCACACAAGCTGTTGGTGGTTCTGGAATAACTGATACACAAATTTTATTTGCTGTAGATCATACATTAGGTGATCATGTTTTAAAGACAGATGAGTTTAGTGGATTTGCTGCAATAGAAAAGGCAACAGCTGTGGATTTGGCAGCAAAGTTTCAGATTAATTTTAATAAAATTTGTAGACCTAAACACAAAAGACACATAGTAGATGATCAGGGCCCTAATAAAAGGTTAAAAATAGACACAGTGGTTAATAACAGTTGTAATTTTAGATCAGGTAAGAATACCTATTTTAATTCAGATGGATTAAGTAAGGAAATGCATACATTTGATAGGAAAGTAGAATTTCCAAATTTTGAAAGTATGTTGGAACAGAACAATTCTTGTATAATTGATACTAAATTTGGAGGATTTTCAAATGCTGCTGGCAAAAAGATCTTAATATCAGCTGATTCTTTAAGTAAAGCAAAATCTTTGTTTGATAGTATTGATAGTGAAATTAATACCAATTATAGTGATTCAAAAGAAATAAGAAATAATACTTTAGGAGATAAAAGTCTAAATTTACAGATGTGCTGTGAAATTACAAGTATATCTTCAATGAATAACATATCCACTTCTGAAACGAGGATGAACATAAACTCTGCTTCACAAAAAAATCATACATCAGTGCTAAGCAAAAATGACCAGAAAGCCTGTAGCAGTATAAAAGATAAGTTGAAATACTTTGATAACCTAATAGGGGCAGATGAAAACGTAAGTGAAGTTCTAGATAATAATAAAAATCATTTTGCTTCAGTTTCATCTACAACATTTGGAGGATTTTCAAACGCAGCTGGCAAACAAATTTTGGTATCAGCTGATTCTCTTAGTAAAGTGAAATCTTTGTTTGATAATATTGATAGTGATTTTAAAGAAACAGAAGAAGCAAAACTTGTTGGTAATAAAAAACGAAAGTTACAAAGATTTAGTAATATTAAAAATGTTTCTTTACCAAATAGTCACACCATTGAAGGGCCAAAAATGAATTCCAATTCTTCCTCATCAACATCATCACTTACTAAAAATTATCAAAAGACAAATATTTCTGCAAAACAAGATCTTAAGCAGTTTGATCACTTAGTAGAAGATGACCTATCGAAACCTACTAAAAGTGCACCAGATGAAACCACAAGTAAAAATTTGTCTATAGGGAATTATAAAAATAGTTTTACCTCAGTTTCAGTTACAAATAATAATTCCTTTGGTGGGTTTTGTAAAGCTTCCGGCAAAGAGTTAATAGTAACTTCTACTGCTTTATCCAAAGCAAAGGCTTTATTTGAGGATATAGCTGAGGATACAAATCTTAACTTGATAAGGGCAGTAAAACCTTTAAGTGAACAAAATACTGGTCTTGGAAATCATGATATTAAAAATATTTCAAAAATAGAAAATAATATTTATCACAGTAAAATACCTAAAATTAGTGGTGCACAAGAAAATAATCCATTGCAACCAAATCACAATAACCAAAATATGTGTGAATTTCAGAGTAACAATGGTAATACTTCTGTAAAAGATAAACTTAAATACTTTGATCAACTGATAGGAGATGATTTAGATTTTGTTCCAAAAACTGATTCAAAACTTCCCGATTTAGTCAACAAGCACAGTATTACGAAACGACCAACTGTAGTTAAACAAAAATTAGAATTTTTTGATAACTTACTTGGAAAGAATGATCTGTCTTTTAAAAATAATTCATTTTCTAATAGAAATCCACAAAATTTTGGAAGTTCCTCTAGTACACATGGAAAGAGCTTAGAACTGTCTGATATTGCTTTAAAGAAGACCAACACTACTTTTGAAGACACTTTGGAAACAAAATCTAATTCCAGTTTTAAGACTCCCATAAAAGATCTTGGTAACTCATCAGCCAAAAAAACTAAAAGGAAGTTGGGTGTCTCATCTTTAAGACAGATTTCCATTCCTGAATCAAAATTGCAGAAGGCTAGATTGATTTTTGATGAAGAATTTACTGGAATATCACCTATCAAGCCTTTACTACAAACTTCCAACACTGTTGAGAACTCCTGTTCCACTCCAATAAAAAGAGATATTGAAACACATAAGAGTTTTATGGATTTTCGAGAAACTGTTTCCAAAGAACCAGGTATTACTGAAACAGAACAGTCTGTTATACAAACTGAATTTAATCTTAAAGAAGATTGCCTAGTTACCTTTACTATACCTGAGAATAAAGACTTAAATGAAGTTATTGTGGATTTTAGTGCAGAAGCTAGGAAATTAGAACAAAAGTTAATAGTGCTTAACAAAAGGAAAGAAATTCTGGAATCTTTTAGGAAAGATAAAGCAGATTGTGATAAGAAGTAAGTTATACTTTGATAGTAACTTTTTGATGCCTTTATTTGTAATGCTTTGATCCATTTTGCACATATGCATACTAAAATATCAAATTCCTAGATATTAAAAAATATTGACTGTAAATTATTTTGTTTCTCCTTTCATTAACTTTTACACAAATAAAAAATAAACCAGCAAAAACGGATTACTTCAGTTTAGGCCTAAAATGTTTGATATTCCTGAAATGACACTTCTATAGCAAAATAATAGGCCTTTTGATTTCCTTAATTTCAAATTTACTTTGGAAAACCATAATTTGAGTGATATTGAAAGATTGCAGTACAGGATGTGTGTGAATTAAGTTAATACTGAAAAACTATCAACATAACAACTGAACCTCAGACCTGAACTATCTTTTTTTGGAGTTACAGTCCTTTTACTCATACTCATCTTCATCACTTACATTATCCTCTTGATTACTAGAATCTGAATCTGACCAGATGCTTTCTCTATATAGAGATACTGAACCTGACTAGTTGCTTTCAGAGTCTTCAAAATTAGATTGATTGTCAGGATTATCATCTGTTTCTTTTGGATTTTTAATCTTAGACTTAGTCTCCGCATTGTTAAGTAATTTCCAGTTATGTGAGAAGTAAATTATTTTAGATGTTCTTTGAGTTGTTTATTGCTTTTTGTTATTGTTGATTCTATCAAAAGTACTAAATGGCATTTCTGCGATGGTTGCTGTAGCAGGGGATCCAGGAATTCTTATTGTCACATCAACAATTTCGCATGTACCACTTCTAGCATCCCCACAATACTTCTTTACCTCTACAATCAATCAAATTTTCACGAATTTTCATTACTGTCACTGGCTGGCAATATTCACAATATTATTTCACAAATTATTTCACAATATTTTTAATCTTAGGATTACAGTAGAGATAATTAACCATATCATTTTAAAACAATAAATTATATTTTAATATGTCTAAAGTAAAGCATACATATCCTTATTTTGGACATTTACCAAAGGCAAGGATAATTATTCGGATAAACACCCATTTATAAATACTATATCCAACATAATCATGATTATCAGTTTTAGTCAAAAATTCTCGAAATATTGATTTCATTTATTATCATAACATTTATTGTGACTGATCAGAAATAACATGGACTATCAAAAGAAGAAAACTTGAGTACTTGAGTACTATATGCAGCAGCATAGAGCTTTTTAGAGAGCTGTCAACAAAGTTCACATAGGCATGATGATTTATAAACTATGATAGAAGATGGACTTCGAAGAAGAGGCTTTTGGATGGAAGATTTGTCCCATCTTTTTATTGAACTAAAACTTAGATAAATTTTTTTGGGTAAATGAACTAAGCTAATTGTTTATAGTTTCTGATGGGATTTGATGTTGTTATTGTTAGAAGGCAGTCATTTTGTCAAGATGTTTTTAAATGGGAGATATTTTTATTCATATAAATGTCACTGAAAATTACAAGAACTTTCTAAATACAAAGTAATAACAGTGCATTTTGACCGTTTTTAATGATTTGATGAAATGTCATAAAAACGATGTGCCATAGTTCAGAAATTTATTAATTTCACTTGGGGTAGGGGAGAAAATCTTTATTTTGGAAAATATGTAGCTATATTTTGTATACTTACATACTAAACAAATTTCATAGCATATGTAGAACCATAATAACTTTAATTTTTTTTATTTCTAGGCCTAAAGTTGGAATGTTATCCAAATCTAAAAGTCAAAGTAACAGAATATTATTGAGAACTTTTGTAGAAGGACTTCAACCAGGGGGAAATGGTGACAGTAACTTCAATTGCATCACACCTCAAAATGCTGCAGACATTCATTTCAAAGAGTAAGTTTTTAATCAAATAACATATTATCAACATGATCATAATCCATAAATCCATTGCTGGACAAGGGCCTCCCCTGTTTCTATCTCAGTCTTGTGTTGTATGTAACCAGTTTTTGCTAATCTTCGTTTGATATATTGTGGAAGATATGGCTTAAGTTGAGGATCTTTCTCATTTTTATTATTACCTAAAATATAATATTTCTACTGATAGGAGGCTTCTAACATTACATGTTTCGATTTTCAAGGTAACAGTTTTCATTAACATTCAAGATTTCATCAATCACATACCCATGAAAAGAAATAAAAAGTGAGGAATCATTGTTTTTTTCTAGATCATCTGCACTGATTTTGACAGAAGATGAAGCTACTGTAGTACCAAATATAAATAACCTAATAGGAGTTTCTGAAATAGAAAACGCCTTTAAAGCTATGCCTGGAACAGATCCCAGGTTAATACCAAAAGGTTGGATAAAAAACCATTATAAATGGATCATTTGGAAGTTATCCAGTTATGAAAGAATGTTTCCAGATCAGTTTAAAGGTTCTCTGACTGTTGAGCATGTTATACAGCAATTAAAATATAGGTAAGTTCAATTATATTTTATTTTTTTTATAAAATAGTCAATTTTATGATTGGTTTTCTTATTAGAATTGAATCTTTATTTTTTTGTCTGCTTTACTTGCCGTTCTTATTTAAGTTACAAAATATACTCTTAGGTAGATATATTAATAGTGCTAACTTTTTCTATTTGTGGTATAGTTAACTCATATGTTATACAGTGTTGGAAGTTGTTGCCCTTATCGTTGTCATGTAATGGCAAAAACGTATTGAGAATCTAACACCATAATCTTTACTTTTTATATCTTTTCATAGACAAGATCTTGATATATATTAAAGTACATTATTATTAACAAGCTCATTCGGATACTTTTACTTCGAAGGTTTGTCAGTAGTAGTTATAGAACCAATCGATGTTACAGGAATATACTGATCTACCAAAAATTTTTTACTCAATTGATACATTTTCTACAAGTCTGGTCTGACAGAGATGTTGTAACTTTACAAAGTTTGCTGTAGTCACGTATCACCAGTCTGTCATGAATCTCGCTATGCGGTTAGACGTCACTTACATCTTAGTTAACTTTATGAAAGGGAAACTCTTCACCTTTGACCTCGATGATTCAATTTTTACAAGCCCCAAGTATTGTTAAAAAGTCAATCCCACTATAAACTGGCAGGAAATCTCAGCGATTAATTGATGTTTTTTAAATTTTTTTCAATATATCTTTAAGATCAAAAACATGGCTATTCAGAAATATTGTCTGTTACAAATTGCTTCAATTATATGTTTTATTTATTTTGTTTAGATATGATCGCGAAATTGATAAAGTAGAGAGATCTGCTTTACGAAAGATACTGGAAAGGGATGATGTTCCTCAGAAGAGAATGGTTCTTTGTGTTTCTGGTGTGAAAAAGGTAAGAAATGTTTTTTTAACGTCTTTTTATGTAGTATTTACTAGTCTTAAACGTCTTTTTATATAGTATTAATACCTTGTACCAGTATACACACAGAATATGATCCCGTAGGTGGTTCTTTTTTTGCATGAATATATTTGAATATAGTTTTTTGATGTAAAAGTATTTTTGATTATATTTTCGTGGTGATATGTTATTGTATTTCACACCGCCAGAAGAAAGTCTACAAATGCAAAAAGGTCTTCTCCTTCTTCAGGTTCCTTCTTCCATCGGAGGTTGGAAATCATCATCGCTATTTTAATTTTATTGGCCGCGTTTCTGAATAATTCTAATGAGTTGCAACCGAACCACTCGCTCAAATTTTTAGTCAAGATATTTTGCGTTGTCCTGGGTTTCTCTTCCCTTGCATAATTAACCTACGTAAGACGTACTTCTCGCCCTTCATTATATGGCCCAGATATTGAATCTTTCTAATTTTAACAGTTTTTATGACTTCACCATTCTTTCTTCATTCTTTGTGACATCTCTATATTAGTTACTTTTTCAATCTACGATATTCTATGGATTCTCCTGTAGCACCACATCTCAAAGGAGTTTAATTTTTTGATTTCAGACTGTTTTATTGTCCACGCTTCCATGCCGTATAGTAAAGTAGAAAAAACTTAAGATTTAATGGAGAAAGTAGAGCTGAAGGTAGATATGATATAGAAATAGAACAGGAGGATACTGAACTACCAACTTTGGAAGAAATAAACAAAGCAATTCAGTCTCTAGCCAGAAACAAGTCACCCGGAGCAGACAACCTACCCGCAGAAATATTTAAATGTGGCGGTCAAACATTTGTAACCCTCCTTCACAAACTACTAATACAGGTATGGCAAGAACGCGCGTTACCAGAAGATTGGAATACTGGAATTATATGCCCCATACACAAAAAAGGAAACGTTCTTGAATGTTCCAACTTTAGAGGGATTTCCCTTCTTAATACAGCATACAAAATTGTGTCCCTGATACTTAACGAACGACTGGCACGGTATACTGACAATATAATAGGATCCTACCAAAGAGGCTTCTTGAAAAACAAATCTACCATTGATCACATATCATCCATCAGACAAATATTAGAAAAAACGACGGAGTACGACATAGACTGCCATTACATCTTCGTAGACTTTAAGGCAGCGTACGATACTATTGACAGGTCCCAATTATATTCGGCGATGATCGAATTAGGAATACCAAAAGGTTTGGTAGAATTAATTAAAATGACAATGATGAAAGTCGAATGTAAAGTGCGCGTACAAGGGGATGTTTCAAAACCATTTAAAACCAACAGAGGACTGCGCCAGGGAGATGCGCTATACCGAAGTATACAAATAATGGCATACGCTGATGATATCGTCATAATTGGAAGAACCCAAAATGAAGCAGTGGAGGCTTTCACACGTATCAAAAATGCCGCAGAAAACATCGGACTTCTGATTAACATCCAGAAAACTAAATATATGCCGGCCATATCAAGAATTCAACAAAATAACTTAGAGGTGCAACACGAAACGATAGAAATGGTAGAAGAATTCTGCTACTTAGGATCACTGGTAGACTACAAAAATAACACATCCAACGAGATAAAAAAAAGAATATGCGTGGCTAACCGCTGTTATTTTGGCCTGGGCCCTCAACTAAGAGCGAGAAGTATGTCAATAGCAACAAAGTGCAAACTTTATAAAACAATAATACGCCCAGTGCTCACATACGGATCGGAAACATGGGCAATGACGACCCGAGATGAAGAGTTACTACGAGTCTTTGAAAGAAAAGTATTGAGGACCATATATGGCGGAGTAAACGAACAGGGTCTGTGGAGAAGGCGATATAACTTTGAACTCTATAGACTTTTTGGTGATGCAGATATTGTGAAGACCATCAAAATAAACCGCCTAAGGTGGGTGGGCCACGTTATGCGGATGGATGAGAGTGATCCCACTAAAATAACTATGCTAAACAGGCCGGTCGGAAGAAGAAGAAGGGGGCGACCTAAACTCAGATATCTGGACGATGTACAGGAAGATCTGAGGGAGATTGGAGTGAGGGGCTGGAGAAGACAGACACTCGATAGGGAAGGATGGAAGAATGTTTTGAAGCAGACCAAGGCTCACGAAGGGCCAACTGATGATGATGATCATCAGAATTTACTTTTTAGTAGAATTTTCACGCAATACCCATACTCATACAATAAAATATTATCCTATTAAAGTTTTCTCTATTCTTGTCTTTGTTATAATCTTTATTATCTTTCAAAGTTTTTTTTATCGGCACCACATAAATAGCTTACATTTAAACACCAAGGCATGTCTCCTTCTAGAAGAACACTCCTTTTTATCGAATATAACTAATCATAATAGATATTGTTCTAGCAATTAGTCTTATCCATGAAATTTATCGTCCCTCCTGCAGCTGTTCTAAAAATAGTTGGTATTGCAATCTGTTTTTGTCGACGACAATTAAAATACAATAAAATTAATTTCCTTTTAGGTAGGATTTAATTCACATGAACTAGAACTTACTGATGGTTGGTATGGAATAAGAACTGTCATCGATGAGCATTTAAATCAACAAATTTTTGCTGGAAAGATCAAAATCGGTACTAAATTGATTACCTGCGGAGCTGAATTGATGAACTGTGATGGATGCCACCCTTTGGATGTAAGAGATCAAATATTAACAGTGCTGATAGCCAATAATGATAACTGTTATGTTCGTTTAAGGTTACGGATTTAACGTTCTTAAAAATATGCTTTAATTGCACACGAAGAACTAAGTGGGATGTGAAATTAGGATATCAGAGATTTCCAGGTCCCTTTTCAGTACCAATTCACAGTGTTCGTCCTGGTGGTGGGCCCATTGGACGTATCGATGTCTATGTTGTCAGAAGTTATCCTTTCAGGTATTTGGATAAGTCTGAGGTTAAATGTGGTAAGTTTTAAACAAATATGTTTCTTTTAAACAAAACAGAGGTTCTCGCTCTAGTTTAAAATAAAAATATTGCTTTAAAATTAAAGTCATTTAAAAAATGTAAACGCCAAAAGATATCTATTCTTTCAGAAATGTTACCACATTAAAAAAATATATTACCCCAGGCTGTGGGGAAAAAGTACTCTCTAGATTATGAAAGTACTCTAAAAGACCTTCAATTTGAGCAGGTATACGTTCAATTTAATTTATTTGTTATTGCATAAATGGCGAATGAAGGTCAAAATTAAAAAACATAATATTTATTGCAAAATTGCTATTAACAAGTTAGATGTGGTTAGGTGAATCAGTCTCCCTTCCTGATTCCTCATCTTTTCTGTCTGGCCCCTTTTTGGTTTGTATATTTTCCCAATTGATTTTGCATTTCTTTAACGTTATTTCATGACCTTCATCTTTGTCCATGTGTTTAAGGTAAAATCTTTTTTCTATGACCTTCAAAGAGTTCCTCGACATAAGGACATTTTTCATGGTTTTAGTTTTTAAAGAGTTTTATGTACATACATAACAAATAATAGAAACTTTTGGACGACAATACGACACATAAGGCAAGGAGGACGAAAGAAAATAAACGCAGTAAGAGATACTTCAAACCAAATACAAATAAGCCCAGAACAAGTAGCTAGAGTATGGAAAGAATATTATGAGAAAAAATTTGATACCGAAGGGATAAATGAAGACAATATAAACAATGAAGGCGAAGAAAACACAGAGCTAGAGCAAATAAGTAGAGAAGAAGTAATAGAAGGATTATCAAATATAAAAATAGGCAAGGCAGGTGGAGATGATGAAATTGAACCGGAAATGGTAAAATACATGGGAGAAGAAGGAATAAACTGGCTATGGAAAATATATAAAGAGGCGTGGGAAAAACAAACAATCCCTAAAGACTGGCAGAATAATATCATCGTGCCAATATACAAAAAAGGAGAACATGTAAACTGCGACAACTATAGAGCAATATGTCTGTCATCGGTATGCTTTAAAATATATACGAAAATAATAGAGAAGAGACTGAGACAAGAAGTAGAAATGGTATTGGGAGAAGAACAAACGGCATTTAGACCGGGAAGACAGACAAATGACAACATATATATCATTAGAAACCTAATAGAAAGAAGCATAGATACGGGGAAAAACTAGTATTAGCATTCATAGACCTAAGAGCAGCATTTGACACGATAGAAAGACATATTATAGGGAAATGCTTGAGAAAAATAAATGTACCTAATGCATTGATAAAAATTATAGAAAGTACTTACAAAGAGGTAAAAGGAAGGGTACAAATAACAGGGGAAAGATCGGAAGCATTTAATTGGAAGAGAGGTATTAAACAAGGAGATAGTCTCAGCCCTTTGCTATTCATAATAGTAATGAACGAATTGATAAGAAACACTAGAGTCAGAACCAATCAACTACAGACAATAATAGGTTACCACAGATTACAACCGGTAACAATAGAGTCCTTAATGTATGCAGACGACATAGTACTAATAGCAGATTCCGAGAATAAAATGCAGAAACTAATGGATATATGGTTAGAACAAATAGAAGAACTAAAAATGGAGATAAACGAGGAAAAAAGTAAGATAATGATAATCAGTGGCAAAGGAGATCAGGAAGATAATCAAATAAAGATAAAATGTAAAAACTCAGAATTGGAAATAGTAACAACTTACGAATACCTGGGAAGTATAATAACTAATGACGGAAAAATAGACTGGGAAATAACAAATAGAGCAAAGAAATCAAACAAGTTATACTATGCGTTAGCCCCAATAATGGGAAAAAGAGAACTTACACGAGAGACAAGAATAAAAATATATAACACAATAGTGATACCGACTGTGCTCTATGCAAGTGAAAACTGGACAATTCTGGAAAAACATAAGAGCAGGATAAACGCAATGGAGATGAGACATCTAAGAAGGATAGTTGGAAAGACAAAATGGGATAGATTAAGCAACGAGACTATTAGGAGAATGGCCAACCAGGAACCGATAATGAACAAAATAGCAAAGAGACAAATGAACTGGTATGGGCATCTGATGAGGATGCAATCCAATAGAATAACAAGAAAAGTTTATGAAGCAAAGAACATCGGAAAAAGAAAAAGAGGCAGACCAAGAAAAAAATGGATACAGCAAGTAGTAGAGGCGGGAAAACTTAAACAAAAATCACTCGAGGAATTGAATTCCTCGAGTGATTTTTGTATAAGTTTTATATTCCTCGAATATAAATATATATATATATATATATATATATATTATATATATAATATATATATATATATTATTATATATATATATATATATATATTATATATATATATATATATACTATTAATAGCATAGAACTTCAGTGAAAACGCGCCATCGGGTTCTATTTTGCGCTAAGGCCTTCACCTCATTCCAAGACTTTCCTTGGCCTCTTATCTCGTCCATGATGGATCTTCTCCAAGTTTGTACTGGGCGACCTCTTTTTCTTTTCCCTTGGGATTCCACTCTAGGGCAGTCTTTGCGATACTGGAACTATTTTTTCGGAGTGTGTGACCGATCCAACCCCACTTTCTGGACTTAATTTCATTTTGTACCCTCTTTTGTTCGGTCAGGTGTAGCAGATCTTCGTTTCTGATGGTGTTAGGCCAGAATATACGAACAATTCTTCGTAGACATTTGTTAACAAAGACCTGCAGTTTGTCTGTGAGGGTGTTTGTCACTTTCCAGGTTTCACATCCGTAGAGTAGAACAGACATGACATTTGATCGGAATATTCGGATCTTTGTCCTTGTAGTATACTCGCCAGATCTCCAAACAGGGTTGAGCGTGCTGAAAGCTTGTTGGGCTTTTCGTATCCTCATACGAATATCGTCTTCTGTACCTCCGTTTTCTGTTATGACACTTCCAAGATACGTAAAGTTTTCCACATTTTCAATCTGCATATTGTCGATAGTAAATAGCGTGTTGTTCCTTGCATTTATTCTCGAGGAATTGAAAATAATGGTAGGAAACAGAAAAGAATGGAAGAGGTGGGTAAATGGAAATAAAATAGCTAGCCCAAATCGGACACCCTAATAGGGTAAAAGGAAGGGGAGAAAGAAAGAAAGAAAGAGTTTTATATATATTGAATCTTATGATGATTGTAACTCTTAAATTTTCTTCAAACTTTATTTTTTTATATATAAATGTTCTTTCCTCACTCTGATTTTATTTAGTACCTTATCATTTGTGTCATTAATTGGTTAGTTTGAATGAATAATTTTTTTATTTAGTCTATTAGTCCATACTACATTAAAGTGCAATTTAATATTATAGTTTGGCGCAATAAAAAAGCCGAAGAACGAAGAGCACAAGCTTGGGAGAATGAGCGATACAAGAAATTAGAATTAATTGAAGAGAATATACGAAATGACTATAGAAGTATTAGTAATTTAGAAAAGTTTAATAAAAATTGTGACATTTCTGGAATAAACTGTCCCATAACTCTTTTGGAAATTATAGAAAACAGTAACGATCCAGAAACGATGGAAGTAAGTGGCCAATTGTTAAATTATTGTTAGAAATTTGGTTCGAATGTAATTTAATAATGTTAACAATTAGTTTTTTAACACCTGTTTTGTGTTTAATATCACTGAGATTTGGCCATGCTTGACCAATTATCATATCTTCTTTTATCTTAAAATACTAAAGGGTACCTAATTCTAAGAGCTTACCCCATGGTGTCTTCATTATCTAACACAACTAACTTAAATACAACACTTTGCTCTACCTTTATACTAACACTGTACTAAGCTAACTCAAATGATTACATGTTGATGGAGTCGATGTTTATGACCACCTGTCATCTTCTTGATTATTTTGTGGACTTCCTAATATACCAAGGATTCCTAAATTGATGGTTTGGAATTAGTTTTTTCTCTTTAAATATTGGTTTCATACAACTCGACATGACTTTCTCGAACAGTGTCGACATTAATGGTATAAGTGTATCAACTATAAGTATAAGACTGTATGAGGATACGTTATTCGTTGGCTTCCGACGTTTTGGTATCACTATCACTATTTTCCATATTTTTGGAATATATGTGAATCTAAATGCAGCATTAATTAGATTGGTCGAATTTACTATGGATTTACGAGGCAGATTTTTTAGTATTAATTACTATTTAACTGGGAATAAGCCACAATTAAAGATAAAAATACGTTTATTGACGTTTCAATTTCCACTTCGGAAATCGTTCTCAAAATACAAACAGTAAATTAAACAAATTTTGTTTTTTGTCACTTGGTGAAAAATTCTTCTAATAATTTAATTTTATCTGACTCATTTATATTGACAATTCAGACATACATTATGCATTTTAAAGTAGACGACTTTAAAATGATATTGCCAATATTGTTGAGTTGCGCTCCTGGGACGACTTTACTTATAAGATAGTTCATTGGATTACATGAAATCAACTTTAACTTGAGAATATCCGTCAGAAAAAAATCATAGCATGTAATTCGTCTTTAAAAAGACAAACACATGACATGATGACAGTAAAATTCTCTTGTTAGTGATTCCATAGTAAATTATGAGGGAAAAACCAGGAAAAAAACCTCATAATACCGACATGTCATTTGTTCGTGCTTTTATTTACCTTCAATAAACACTAAAATTCTGATTTTATATGTTTCGTTATTTAAAAAACATAAATGATGTATTCTCTATATGTTACTGATTTACTAATACTGGTATTTTCTTATTAATAACTTCCTCTTTCAGTATTGGTAACCAGATCCTACTACATTCTGCCGAGGAATTTGCGACACAATTGGCCTCATTTAGCATAATTAGAGCCGCTTCTTTGATTTTTCTTTTTTTACCATCCGTTTCTTTTAGTACTACATTTGAATTATTCCATTGAACCCTATGTTCATTATCCCATGCGTGTTTACATATTTGAGATCTATCAAATTCTCTATTTTTAATATAAGATTGATGTTCACTTATTTTAACATTTAATGGCCTTGATGTTTCACCTAAATAAAACTGATCGCATTCACAAGGTATTTTATAAATGCAATTCTTTGTCCATTCTTGTTCATTGTTAGGTTTGGTTTTGGACAAAATAGATCTCAACGTGTTTGTTGTTTTGAATGTTGTTGAAATGTTGAATTTATTTCCTATCCTTTTAAGTTTTCTAAGTTGTTCTGTTCTATTCGATCGATTGTTGAAAATTCCTTATTTATAAACGATAAAGGATAATCATTTTTTAATAAAACAGATATTAACAAATGTTTCTCCTCCAAGAACTAATTTTCGTTAGAACAAGTAATTTTGGCTCTATATGTAGTCCTAATATAGTAATTTATTAAGGTGTATTAAGATGATCTTCACCTGTCTGATAACAAAAGTCGATAACATCTACCCATCAACGGTAATGAAATTCGGAAAATATTGTAGGTTTCACAGCAATGGCTTTTTTTAATACCTTTTGTGTTTTTTCTGGCAAGGTTCCACGAAGGTGGGTGCACAGTTGTAGAAAGTATAAATCTGCATCTTAGTTTTTCTAGAAATGTGTTTCGATCTAAGGATGTTTATTGCTGGATAAATATGTATCAATTTTTGTCAAAATATATTCAGATTCATAGGAAAAAAATAAAACTTTGCTTTTAATTTAAATAATTTTATGTAATAATTCTAATAATTGATACTTTTTAGGCGAAGTTAACTTCTTCCCAAAAATCATCGTTACTCAACTACAAGCAAAACCTCCTTCAACAAAAACAACAGGAAATGGCTGCAAAGCTGAAAAACAGTGCGGAAAAACTTAAAATGTCCAAACGTGATGTTGTTGCGGTAATGAAAATGTTAGTGGTTGATCAAAAAGGAAGTCCTACGAAAACGTACAACTTCTACGTGTGGAATGCAACTGATAACCATTTGCAGCTGATCAAGGAGGAGTCTTGTTTGGCCGTTTTCAACGTATATCCCAAGTAAATAATAAGCTAATTAAATATTTTAAACTTAAACTACTATATATATATATATATATATATATATATATATATATATATATATATATATATATATTGCTATGCTATTTTGTTTGTATTGTATTATGAGCAATGGGTAATTTTAAATAACATATATAGGGTTTTTGTCACGGTTCTCAAATAATTAGAATTTAAATATACAATTTAAACAACCCATCTTTAAAATGAAGTTCTTATTACAATAATTAAATTATACTAACAATATTTGGTACATTTCTGTTGCTGAATGTCTAAATGAAATTGTTTTCCAAAATAAAGGTTTTAATCGCCACTCAATATCTCAGTTATCTGCCTCTGATTATCCTTGTTTTTATTAAATCGCTTTCTAAAATAGACCACAATGTTTCAATTAGCAGCTTCCACCATTTCAAATTATTTTTCTTCTTATTAAAGTTTATAGTTGAGTAAAATATAATTTCTTCGTTATTGTGATTGACTTTTTATTATTAATAATTTATATATTATTGTTTGTTTGATTTCTTTTCTATAAAAATTTAACAAAAACTTGACTTTTTCCAAAAATGAATTATGTGAGTTTGACTTCTCAATAATTAATCTCCATAATAATCCTCTTACGCTCGAAGTGACAGCGTGACAGCGAAGTTCGCGAAAATTCTCGAACGAACAGAGGTTAGATTCTTTCTATTTAGACCTTTTGACGCCAAGTTCTTTTCTTTTCTATTTAGAAATTTAGGCTTTTCAGATCAAAATGAAAACTTATATATAAATTAAACATCTTAAATTAGTAAATAACACTATTTCAATCCATAATTATTATTTCAAATGTTCACTTTCTCTTCAATTTCACCTGGATTCATTGTCCCATATCACTTTCATTCACAGAATGTCTTAATATAACAAAATTTACTCATATTAATCTACTTATAATATCATAACTATCAAAATAACCAAATACATTGCAAAATAAAAACTTTTATAATATTCTCTAGTATATAACTCATAAATTACTTCCTTAATCTCCATTTAAGTTCATTCTAGGTTTCTAAACATTTTGAATATATATATATATATATATATATATATATATATATATATATATATATATATATGTATATATTGAGATAATAATAGATATAGAAGAAATTAGCATAATGAGTTTTTAATTAATAAACTTAAATAGTGATTAAAGAAATAATTATAAGTTATAGACTAGAGAATATTATAAAAAAATATTTATATAAGGGTATTTTTAAGAACTTAAATAATAAGAAGTGTAAAAAGTTTTATTTTAATAATTATAATATTATAGATATATTTAAGTGAACCATGTGCATAGGCAACCAAATATACACTGAATTGACACTATTATTATGATATGAATGAATTTGAACTTAATAAGTGACATTTGAATAATAATTACCGATGTAAAATAGTGTTATGTATTAATTTAAGATGTTTAGTTTATATATAAGTGTATATTCTGATCTATAAAAGCCTAAATGTCCATAAAATTCTCGATAGAAGGGTAAAGAATTCTCTAGAAAACGTCAATATAACACGTCAATAGAAGGCAGTTAACCCTATTTGCATAGTAGAATATTCGAGATCGTTCAATATTGATCAGATGGAGCAGTTTCGAGCATGATTTGTTGCTAGAAGATTCGAGAACGATGAAAAGATATAAATACGATGTAATTTGGAGCAAAGGATTCATTCATTCATTCATTAACACAGTATTAAGTTAGGCAGTATGAGAGTAAATTAGAACAGTTAAACAGTTTTTCATTAAGACAGTTACAATTAGACAGTTAGTATAACAGTAAGAGAGTGCATTGATTAGCCAGTTCAAGATAGTTAACAGTTACAGTAAGATAATATGGAGTTAGTTAATTAAGAAGTTAAACAGGAGACAGTTCGACAGTTAGTTAATGAATTTATTAAGAACTTGGTTGATCAGTAAATAGTACAAGCAGATAGTATATAGTGATCATTAAGAAGAAAAAATAAGATTATAAATAAGAAGCAAAGGAGAAACAATAAATAAAGAAAAATATTTTACCCATTTATAAATGCTATTAAGAAGATAATTTTTCGTCTGTTCTAACAACCATTCAAATTTCGTCATTTTGTGTCATGTGGAACAATTTCACCCAATCATGTCAACATTAGACTGATAATTGCATTCAGTGCAATTTTCAATCCCTATGACAACACGATCGAGCTTGATAACTTCATCCAAATAAATTTCAAAATGTCACGTTTCTAATGTTAACTTAAATTTTAATAATTGTACTTTCACTAACTGTACTTTTAATAAATAAATGTATCGTTATGTTGAGTTATGATTTTTTTTTCGAAAAATTATCCGCCGAATATCCCTCGGACATTGATGAATGCCTCATAATTTCATGACAAATTTCTCAAGCTCGTTGCTTGGTAACAGCACTCAGCCTTCGGCTTCGTGCTGTTACCAAGGAACGAGCTTTCGATTGTCATGAAATTATCTCGTCTGTTATCAATGTCCTAGGGATATTACTACTGAAAAATATTTTAAATTGGTAGAAGCTGATAATTAAAACATTCTGGTATATTTGGAAAAAGCGATTTCACAAAAACAAGGATAACCGAGGCTGATAAAGAAGATATTGAGTGGTGATTGTAACCTTTATTTTGGATAACAGTTTCATTTAGGCATTCAGTGATAGAAAGGTACCAAATTTTGTTAATATAATTTAATTATTGTAAGAAGTTCAAATTTAAGATAGGTTGTTCTAAATTTATATTGTCTATATTAGATATATATGTATGTTTCATAATAGTTATAATAAAGATCATTTAAAAAAGTACTTATAAACTAATTCTTTGAGAACCGCGATAAAAACCCTATACTTAGGGGTATATATGTTATTTTAAATTATTCATTGCTCACACACAAACAAAACATCATAGCAATATATATACATATAATATGTTATTTTTAGAATAACCGGTGATCTTAATTCTGGAGTAAAAACGACATTTGAGTCTAAACCGAACATAAAATATCAATCTGAAATATTCAAAAGAAAATTAATGACAATCGGGGATTTGCATAGTTGGAACGTTTCTTCGCATTTTAACGAATTTGATACGGTGGGAGTTATTGTCCAATTATTCGTCGAAAATGCTACGCAAGAAATATGGCTCTGTGATACATCAGCAAGGTAATCTCTAATTATATCAAAAGTTCTTACTACAAGATCTTTGTAAAAGATGTAAGATGTAAAATACATGTACTACATACTACATGGACGTATAAACATAGATGGACACAGCAATAAGATACCTTTAACACACAATGTTTTGAAGCTTCGATAGAATGTGATGCTTCCGCAATGAGCATAAGCGTGCTTGAATTTTTACTCGCTGGTAATTATTCAGATTTTAAAAATTGGAAGTAGTAATAATGTATAAAAGTACGTTCAAAGAATTAAAAAAAAAACGAGAGTTTAACTATTAACAAATCACGTCTTTATAGAAAAATTAAAATACAATTTTATTTGCTTTAAAATTAATACAATTAAATATAGTTGAATTCAAGTTAATTTTTTAATAGTATCAAAATAATGCTACAATAAAGAATCTTTATGTTTTATTCTAAATTTGCTACCCAAATAGTTCGATAGTCAATATTATTTGGAAACCTACATAGAAAAATAAATGAGTTTTATTCATTTCACTAATTTATTTGTATCCATGAGAAATATTAAATTAAAAAGGTACTAAACAGATCTTTTTTAATCAGATGATGTCTACTTACAATTTATAAATGTCTACTAATTTCATGAACTCATATCTTATTCAATACATTAATGAACATAAATAAACCCAATGGTACGCCTATTAAAATGTAAACAAACACTTCATCTCATTTCCTCATTTCCTCATCTTAAATAATGTAAATTGTATGTACTTACAAATGAAATGAGAGATCGGGATGTAAATATTTCGTTTATTTTATTTCACTTTTCACAAATATCACTCAAAATACAGCCAAAATATCGAAAAATAACTTTTTCCTCATTTACTGTAAAATGTAAACAAACATGGAACAGCATTTGAAGTTTGACGTAGATCCATAAGACAGAGAAATGTAAACAACCGTTGCCATTTATAAATAGTTTTCAGTGCTTCTACATATAAAATCATTGATTGATATCTATTATAGGCTATTATTAAATGATAATGCACACTATGTGCACACTTGATATTTTGATTACAATTAAATATATTAATATAACCAATAAATTATTATTTTGGTTTGATAGCACCTGTAGAGTATAAAATACGGAGTAATATTTTCAGCGACTCGCGAATAAGAAATTTTAAAACAAAATGTGACAACAGTTGAAGGTGCTCAGAATGTGACCTATTCAAATAATTTTGACTTCACAATTTTATGTAAATAACTGAGTCCATCTGTGTTTATACGTCCATGGACAGACCCATGAATTAAAATAAGATTAGACATTTACTTGATGTACAATTGCTTTGTTTTTTTTTAGTCAGTTAGGCTAATTTTTTTATCATTATCCTATAAAGTTAAATAGTCTATCACCAATCAACATTATTAATCAATTAAGCGACAGATATTAGGCAAACCTTTGTTACATCTACTTTTATCCAAGGCTAGTAAATAGGAATTTATTTCACTCAAATGCTTAATGTCTCATTTTGTGTTAATACTTACAATTATCACACTCTGCTATGAAACATTCCCTTACTATAATTTTTTCCACGCCGAATATCCGATCTTTTATGATCTTGAACTTTGTCTTACATATTATTTACTACAATGTGGACAAGGGAAACTGTAGATTACATATTTTGTTGTTAATTCTTTATGACGTTTATCCTTCAATTTTGATAGCACTTTTTTGATACACGGTAATAAAGCAAATTTTAGGTGTCTTTGGGATGTAGTGTGATGATTTATGTTATCGTCTTCTTGGATTGTTACTGGATCAATGTATGTAGTTAAATAGATGTGTTAATTGATCCAGTAAAAATCCAAGAAGACGATAACATAAATCATCATACTACATTCCAAGGACACCTAAAATTTCCATCGTGAACCATCAGTCCAACCCTTGCTAGCGGTATCAAGTCATACCATGTCTCGTCTAAATAATACATTGTTCGTTTTTGGTTCCGATATTCTTAAATTTTTTCTAAATAATATAAGCCCCAGGTCGACTCAGCCTGAATAAAATGAGTACCTTGGGTAAAACCAGGGGTAATAATAGGCGGTTGAAGCGTAGCACTGGCCATGTTACCTTCCTTGTATACCGTAGGCCCTAGATATAGCAGACTACCCTGCTATACTCCCAAAGCCGCGTGCGGTATAAAACGGGAGACTATTATTATTATTATATAAATGCCAATTTACTATCCTCTTACTTTCCATAATAGCCACTCGTTTATTAATGAGTTGCCTTGCCTTGACAAAGGCAAGATATTTCTTACACGACTAAATAGTCGAAATAAAACACTAAATATTGTTGAAATAAAATACTCAGCCACAGAGTATGAAAAGCTAAAAAGGAAGCAGAGCCCCGAGAGCACTGAGCTCTCGGAGAGCCCGTGAAGGACTGACTTGATTGACCTGAAAATCGCCTATTTTTATACTTTCTAAAGTAGCGATTAGGGATTTCCAGGTCAGGGAGGGGCCAACGGGAAAAATAAGGGGCGTGGCGATGCGTCTCGAACGTGAACTAGTCGCGTCCGAGAACATCCCCCTCCTCTGGAGACTCTGTGGCTGGGAAAAAAAAATTTATTGAATACCAAAATTTTACAATGGTAAGAAAAATACATAAAATGCGTGAAATATATCAAAGAAAATACATGAAAATGTAAATAAAGTAAAAAAAATGTCTTTGAACTCACAGCACAGCACTAATAGAGAGGTCGGTGGTGTATCGTAGTGTTAGCTAACACTCCGTGGTTCTCCCCATTCTTCTCTTGACTTCAACCCATGTTGAAGTCAATGGTGCGCTGCCTTCTGCTGCGAGTTGAGCTGGGTCGTGGGATCGGAATAATCCATTTTGTTGGGCGCCATGTCACCTCGGGGTAAATGGAAAGGTAAGCACTTTCTGTACCACCGTGTGCTCTGTAGAGGGCTTCGGAAACGTCGACGAAAGCCCCTCTACTTGAATCCATTTGCGGGGTATGGATTCGTAAAAGGTTCTCTTCTGATGAGCTCGTCTTGAAAAAGACGAGCTATTTCTTACATGACTTATGAGTCGAAATAAACATCAGGATGCAGTCTATGGTGGCTTGCCTTGACAAAGGCAAGATATTTCTTACACGACTAAATAGTCGAAATAAAACACTAAATATTGTTGAAATAAAATACTCAGCCACAGAGTATGAAAACCTGAAAAGGAAGCAGAGCCCCGAGAGCACTGAGCTCTCGGAGATCCCGTGAAGGACTGACTTGATTGACCTGAAAATCGCCTATTTTTATACTTTCTAAAGTAGCGATTAGGGATTTCCAGGTCAGGGAGGGGCCAACGGGAAAAATAAGGGGCGTGGCGATGCGTCTCGAACGTGAACTAGTCGCGTCCGAGAACAGTACCATCTTAGTTGTTTGTTCCTGTTGTCATTTATTCCATTCCGTTATTCGATCTTAACGCCCAGGATTTCTTGAATTCTGCCGTTCGTTACTCTGTCGTCTAATTTTGGTTAACCGATCGCTCTTCTACTGTCACATCTAAGGTCCAGTGCTTTATTTTTTAGGGTTGCTCTTCCAAAATTAGATTTTGCCGTTTTTCACCTATATCCGTTTGTATTTTGTTTTTACTGTTTACTAGAAATGTTATATTTGAAAAATTGTAACGGTGAGACCATTTTTTTTTATTTCAGATTATTACTAATAAAAATCTCCGAGGGACCAAGTACATGTCTCTTATTAGATGGTTTAAAAAGAGGTCAACTCATTTCTGTATGTAATTTGACGTATCGAGGAACGTCCAATGAATTATTGGTTAGTAAAGCTTCTGCCAATCAGTTCACGATAATTTCCTCTTATCCAAAATACAAGCACCTTCAGAATGGATTAGATGATCTAAAAAATAAGTTACCTAAGGTATGTATTTACAGGGTTGGAACCTCAAGGAATGAACATAAAACATTCAATACATGTCTCTACCACAGTTTATAGATCGAAAAATAGATCAGAGTCAATCTAGCTGTACTAATTTCTCTATTATAGTTTAGAGATCGAAAGCTAGACTAGCCCGTACTTACCACCGTATATGCCGTATTATCAACTCAACGGCTGACTACTGATGTTACACTTCAACCTACTCATAGCGATACTCATGCCAAATATTCTATACCACTATTGTCAAATATTCTAGCCAATTGGGCCCCCTAAACAAACTTGAGATTCTAAAATTATATTTTTTTAGTCAAAAATAATTTTATTCTATCCCAATTCTAAACTTTTCATTTCATTAGTATATTTTTTTAAAATTAACAAAACAAAATCTTGAAAACAGACTTATTAAATTTTAGAACTGATAAAATCGTCTAGTTTACTTATTTCCTATTTTGTAATAGAAATAATAATAGGTATAATACTAAATGAAAAAATATTACAATTACAAAATGAACCAAAAATATATTTTTACAAAAAAAAATTAAAGCCACATTATCAACTAAATCTCTTAGTATTATTATTATATTATTTTATTATATTAGTATTATACTCTAGTAGTTTATAGTAAAGATATTTTACATAAGTACTTCTGGATTACCTACACAAAATTATCTATCAGTTTTCCATCTAGCGATAGAATAATGCCTGTTATAGTATCGTTTCCTCTCGTAGCAGTGTTGCCAATATAAAATAAACTCTGTCTGTCTGAAAGATGTCCTGTCGCATAATAGTACATGTTCAATTCTTCTTCTGACAGTGTATATAATGTGTTATGCAATTAGAATAAAAAGCTTTTTTTTTCAGAAAATAGATGATTTGTTAAAGGACTGTGATAATAGGATAGATAAGTTTAAACATCGAAACTCTACAAGTATATTCGATGAAAGTGATGAGGATATTACTTTAACTTCATCGAAGATTACCAGTACCGATGTGGCGTTATCATTGATAGATTTTGATAAGTTTACATAAAATCAATTATAAGATTTTATTTTTTGTTTTGTTTTTCTGTTACATTAAGTCTAAATAAATTAATTATTATTTTTCATATAAAGAGTTGTAATAAACGTTATAAAAATATATTGTGTTTTTTATGTTACCTCATAAATGTTGTCTTCGTATCCCAAGTGAGAGAGTACTTAATTGTAAGACCTTTTTGCCAAACCCTACCTTTTCACTAAACTCCTTCCTCAGACTCCTATTCGACCTAGAGGATTACTTAAATGCGGCGATCTGTAATTCTGAAGCCCAGGATTACCCAGGGCTAATGTCGCCTTCAGATTCTCTCTTCTCAACATTTGGATTTGGAGAGTTCTTCAGTCTTAACAACTGTATATAGGCTATTCCACGAATATACGACTGTTTTGGTTTACTGCGACAACGAATATTTTACTGTGCAAGTAGAAGTATGAATCTAAACTAAAATTATTTCAGTTAAAATCTACAAATAAATACAATGCCGTCTATGAAGCCAAATAATGTGTTCATCAGACAGGTAAGCTTTCCGTGAAATGTAAACACCAAAGAGGCGTGCCGAGTTTCTTTGATATAACACATTTTATTACTTTATTAGATATTACAACTGTAATAAAAAGAAATATACTATTTTTAATATAAATGAAAAGAAATTGGCAGAACGATGGCTCACAAACCAGAAAAAGGATCTAATATTTCACTTTGTTAGTTTTAAATATTTGTTTGCTTTGAGTTTATGTACTCTTAAAAGTTCCGAAAGTAACGGGTATAACATACCGGCTATTGATAGTTAAAGTACCGAGTCGTTACAGATATTAAAAAGTAACGAAAATTTATATACAGTTTCATATATCGCCGACTGATTATGGCTGTGAATCTGATCGTTGATGATAGTTTTAGAAGATTAAGAGAATAAGTGAATAAGTAAGTTTTTTTGTTTTTTTAATATTAATTGAATATTCGACTAAAAAATTTACACTATTTGATCACTTAAGTATTGTTACATTTCGTTTAAATCACATAATTCAAAAACCAACTTGTTTACAATGAAATAATTGAAATGATAAAATAAACTCCATGATAGTAATTATATACTTCAAAATCTGAATTACAACTGTTTTATAAACTATTAACTTTATATTTATATCATGACTTCATATTTAAAAAAAGGTTTATATCTGCCGTAACAGTATTTAAAAATGGGGAGAATTTACTATTGTACAATTCAAGTACATTGGACCATTTAAATCGACACCTTAAAGCGAATTTAAAACAGTCGTATATTCGTGGAATGGAGTTTACTTCATTTTTTTGTTTAAGAAAGTTGTTTCTACTACGAAAGATCTATTTTGCAGCACATATCAATACAAATAACCTGTTCATAAAGCGACTTCTTTTATATCGCGGAACACAGTTTTATTGGGGTATCTTTTATGGGTCCTATTTTCATTTTCGCACTCTTTTTGTTCGGGTAGTTCTTGGGAAGAGCCATTGTTTTAATCCCAAATTAAACAGTTTTGTAACATACACCACCACAATGAACTCAAAATTTATTTATATAGCAATTTGAGTCACAGTGTTTTTCTTGGATAACTTTTTACGCTGTATCTGCCAACATGGTCGGTGTGGCTGTAACTGCATTAATAAGAAAGATTCCGAATGGAATAATACCGTATATATATACCGTAAAAAAATTGAATTATTGTAGAATAACAGAGTAACTACAAATACGACGTTGAACCAAATCAAATTTTCGTCGAAAAATACTGTATCGTACCATAGTGTTTCAAAATAATTCTCATATTTCAAAAGCCATATAGATTGGTCTGGAATCAAACCATTTTGTAACAGCTATTTTGTTGTCTTTGTTAACGAGCATATCGTGGGAGCCTCTTCCTGATTTTCTTAGATCTTTATGTGTCTTAAATGTCACATCAGTTTTTGGTATTCTATTTTTCATTAGTGTTCCAGTTACATAAAGCTTCTGTGAATGTAATGTATCGATCAATATTTTTAACGTAAAATATCTGTCAACAAGAATAGATACTCCTACTGGCAGAGTATGTGTAAGTTTTAAAACAACCCTTCTCCCGATATCCAGCCGTTCTGGTGTAAGTACCAAGCTGGATTCAATAAATCTGCCTTTACCTTCATACATGTGAAGTCATGATACAAGTGGAATCCCCTCCCCGCATAGTCGTCATGACAAAATTCTTTAATTCGAAGGGTTGGGTTTTTCTCGCACAAACTGTCTCATTAATAGTGTTCCATGAAAGGGAATTATTGCTCATCGATTGACACTTTTTCAGTTCTTTCATTATTCAGACAAGCCCTTTGAATTTGATCCAACAATGGTCTTACTTTTCAGAATCTATCATTTTCTTTAGTCTCCTTGGTTACAGAATCATGGTCAACAATTTTAAGTCATGTTCGAACGCAAGTAGCATGCAATAAACGTTTTTAATTCTTCTGCAGAAGTCTCCAAAGATTTTCCAGTTCTTTTTTACTTCAACGTGTACAATGTGGATTCAAAAAAAATGTCTATGTATTTATTGTAGTAGTCAATAGGTTTTGGAATATTTTCGGGATTGAAGGGATCTTGCACGGAGGGTTGATATTGGGCAAATTGTGGTGTAAAATGTGTTCTCTTCCATTCTTTTCTGTCTTTTTAAGGATAGAATTTGCCGTGTTACTCTCCTTTAAAAACTGAGTTGCCAAGAGCATGTCATCATCTGAATCGTCGTCTGATATGTTAGTGACTTCAGCGTGATCGTCACTCCTTTTTTCCTTACTTTCAATAAGTATTTCATTCTCATTAAGATTTCTAGGTTTATCCCATTCATCCCTATCATCATCACTGTCAGGAAAAAAAGAAAGATCCAAATCAGAGTCATCTAAATTCATATTATCTGCGATTTCCTTAAGTTCAGTCGCAGTCAGCGGCCCTAAAAATAAAAAAAAAATATTTTAAAGTACACTACCGTTTAGGACCCAAGGTATCATCAATAATACCTTGTGTTTAGGGCCAAAGATCTATTGTACCTATCTTCAATTTAGTACCTTTTTTAACACTAAAATGCACTGATCATACACAGAAACATGCTAAATATTATGTACTTACTTTTATTATTGATGATTTTTTTAGCGTCTGCCATGACGTATTTACTTACTCACAACAAATGTCTGACTAACTCATTTCAATCGAGAAGTATGCCACGTCGCAATTTTCTACGCATTCTTCTTCTTCAAGTTCCACTCCTATCGGAGATTGGAAATCATTCTGGCAATTATAATTTTATTGGTTACTCGCCTGAATAGTTCAATTGAACTACATCCAAACCACTCACGGAGATTGCGTAGCCACGAGATTTTTACATCTTCCTACGCTTCTTCTACCTTTGATTTTACCCTGCATTATATTCCTTAGTAGTTCGTACTTTTTACTCTCATGATGTGCCCCAAGTATTCCAATTTCCTGATCTTTATGGAATTTTAAAACTTCGCATTGTTTTCCTAGTTGCTCTAGAACTTGTTCGTTTGTTTTGCGATCCATCCATGATATTTTCAAAATGCGTCGGTAACACCACATTTCGAATGCTTCTAGGTTTTTAATGTTGGATTTTTTAAGTGTCCAAGCTTCAACTCCATACAAAAGGGTAGAGAAAATATAACATCGAAGCATTCTTATCCGGAGCGATATATTGATATCGCGATTACAAAAAAGTTTTCTCATTCTATTAAAAGTTGACCGCGCAATTTCAATGCGGCATATTATTTCTTTTGTCTGATCAGTATCTCTGTGATCCATGCTCCAAGGTATTTGTACGAAGATATTTGTTCAATTTCTGTATTATCTAGTACTAGCTTAACTTTGATGTTTTGTGCTTTTGTAAATACCATGAACTTGGTTTTCTTCAAATTGATTTTTAGTCCATAATCGTTGCAATATATATTTAGTTGTTCAGCAAGGTGTTGCACTTCTTCTAGTTCCTGCCAAAAGTACGGTGTCGTCAGCATATCTTATGTTATTAAGTGGCTCACCGTTTATTATAAGGTCCTCACTGATCTCGGCAAGCACTAATTCTGAGATGGCTTCACTGTATAAATTGAATAACAAGGGTGATAAAATACACCCTTGGCGGACCCCACGGCGAATCTGGATATCCTTGGTTAGTTCGTTTTCAACTTTCACTTTTGCTGTTTGATTCCAATAGAGGTTACAGATGATTCTAATGTCTCTACTGTCTATGTTTTTATTTAATAAAAATTTCTTTAAGTCGATTATGCTGCACTCTGTCAAATGCCTTCTCAAAATCAATGAAACAGGCATATACTTCCTGATTAATATCTAAGCATCTCTGCGAAAGAACATTTACTGCAAACAGTGCATCTCGTGTTCCCAGACCTTTCCTAAATCCCATTTGTGTATTACTTATGCCTTCATCTAATTTCTTATGTATTCTATTGTGAATTACTTTTAAAAACAATTTCAAGACATGACTCATTAAGGCTATGGTGCGATGTTCATTGCACTCCCTTGCATTGGCTTTTTTGGGAAGCAGTATGAATGTTGATTGGAGCCATTCTTTAGGTATTATACCTGTTCTATATATGGTATTGAATAGATCCAAAAGAAGATCAATAGATTCAGTATTCACAATTTTAAGTAATTCGATAGGAACTTCATCAGGCCCGGGAGATTTACCATCTTTAGCTTGTTTCATTGCATATTCAATTTCTTCTCGTATAATGTTAGGCCCAGTATCATCCTTAAATTCTTTTGGTGCTTCTGTTCTTTCTTTGTCTTCAAATAGTTGTGCTATATATTGTGTCCATCTCTGCATTTTTTGGTTTATATCTGTTATAAGTGCACCCCTTTCATCTCTTAGTTGCCTAGTTTGAAGTGTTTTTCTCATTCCTGTTAATTCTCTATTTTTTTATGCATGTTAAAAAAGTCATATTTTTTCTCAATTTCTTCTAGTTCTTGGCACTGCTCATGTAACATTCTCTCCTTAGCTTTCTTTATTCTCTTTTTTATTAATCGATCAGTTTCATTATATTTAATTGGATTTTTTGTTTTGAATGATTTTCTTTCATT